ACATTTACCCTGGCACCCCAAATTTTACCTACTACTCCTTCCATAACATTTTTACCCACTTTAGCATTGAAATCCCCAACCACCATTACTCTCACACTTGATTCAAAACTCCCCACGCATTCACTCAACATTTCCCAAAATCTCTCTCTCTCTTCTCTCTTCTCCAGGTGCATACACGCTTATTATGACCCACTTTTCACATCCAATCTTTATTTTACTCCACATAATCCTTGAATTAATACATTTATAGTCCCTCTTTTCCTGCCATAGCTTATCCTTCCAACATTATTGCTACTCCTTCTTTAGCTCTAACTCTATTTTGAAACCCCTGACCTAATCCCATTTATTCCTCCTCCACTGAAACTCTCCCACCCCCTTCAGCTTTGTTTCACTTAAAGCCAGGACATCCAGCTTCTTCTCATTCATAACATCCACAATCATCTCTTTCTTATCATCTGCACAACATGCACGCACATTCAACTTCCCACTTGACAATTTTCTTCTTCTTATTCTTTTAGTAATCTTTACAGGAAAAGGGGTTACTAGCCCATTGTTCCCGGCATTTTAGTTGACTTTTACAACACGCATGGCTTACGGAGGAAAGATTCTTATTCCACTTCCCCATGGATATAAAAGGAAAATTAATAAAACCAAGAACTATTAAGATAAAATCAAAGAAAACTCAGATGAGTGTGTATAAATAAATGTGTACATGTATGTGTAGTGTGACCTAAGTGTAAGTAGAAGTAGCAAGACATGCCTGTAATCTTGCATATTTATGAGACAGACAAAAGACATCAGCAATCCTACCATCATGTAAAACAATCACAGGCTTCATTTTACACTCACTTGGCAGGACGGTAGTACCTCCCTGGGTGGTTGCTGTCTACCAACCTACTACCTATATATATATATATAATAGGTAGTAGGTCTACCAACCTACTACCTATATATATATATATAATAGGTAGTAGGTTGGTAGACAGCAACCACCCAGGGAGGTACTACCGTCCTGCCAAGTGAGTGTAAAACGAAACTCTGTAATTGTTTTACATGATGGTAGGATTGCTGGTGTCTTTTGTCTGTCTCATAAATATGCAAGATTACAGGTACGTCTTGCTACTTCTACTTACACTTAGGTCACACTACACATACATGTACATGTTTATTTATACACACTCATCTGAGTTTTCTTTGATTTTATCTTAATAGTTCTTGGTCTTATTACTTTTCCTTTTATATCCATGGGGAAATGGAATAAGAATCTTTCCTCCGTAAGCCATGCGTGTTGTAAAAGTCAACTAAAATGCCGGGAACAATGGGCTAGTAACCCCTTTCCTGTAAAGATTACTAAAAAGAATAAGAAGAAGAAAATTGTCAAAGTGGGAAGTCTGAATGTGCGTGATGTTGTGCAAATGATATGAGATGATTGTGGATGTTAATGAATGAGAAGAAACTGGATGTCCTGGCTTTAAGTGAAACAAAGCTGAAGGGGGTGGGAGAGTTTCAATGGAGAGGAATAAATGGGATTAGGTCAGGGGTTTCAAATAGAGTTTTGAGCTAAAGAAGGGGGTAGCAATAATGTTGAAGGGTAAGCTATGGCAGGAAAAGAGGGAAACAAAATTCATAAATTCAAGGGTTTTGTGGAGTAAAATAAAGACTTTGGGGTGAAAAGTGGGTTATAGTAACGTGAAAGCACCTGGGGAAGAGAGAAATGAGAGGAGGAGAGAGATTCCCGGGAAAAAGTTGAGTGAATGCTTGGGGAATTTTTGAATCAAGTGGAGACAAATGGTTGGGGATTTCAAGCTAAAAAGGGGAAAAATTTGGGGTTTTGGGGGGAGTATAGGAAAATTTTTGGGGGGCCAGGGGGAAATGAAAAAGGGGGGCCCCTTTTAAATTTACTATTGTAAAAGAAAATTTTTTTTAAAAAGTAATACATATTTATGAAAAAGAGGAAAAAAAAATATACAAGGTATGATTAGCACGTAATGGAAAAATATTTGGGTTTGATTATGTTTTGGGGGATAAAAGGTTGTATGGGTAGGCTCCAGGATTAAAATGTTTATAAGGGGCAACGAATTTAAAAACAAACATTTTTAGTTGTAAAACTACAGTTTGAGTAAGAGGAAAATGGGAAAAGAAGGGAAAGGGGGCAACAACAAGTAAGAGGGGGGTGAAAAAGTAAAACAAGGGAGGGGGAAGTTCGGGGGAGATATAAACACATTGGGAGAAAGGTTTGGGGTAGTGCCCAAAAATGAGTAGTGGGGGGTTTTTAAAGGGTTTTGGGAAAAGTTTTTAAAAAAGCATTTTAGAATGTGGGGAAAAAAGGGTTTTTGGTTATAAAGGGGGGTGGGGGGAGGAAGGGAAAAAAGGGGTGATTTGGGGGAAAAAATGAAGTAAAAAGGGGGTTTTAAAAGGGGAAAAAGGGGTTTGCTTAAAGAGAGGTTTTTTTTTCAAAGCAGAAGGTTTTTAAAAAAAAGCAAAATATATGGAGAAAAAGAAAGGTTAAGAAAAGTGGTGAGAGAGTGCAAAAAAGGGGAGGGGAGAATGAAAGATGGGAGAGGCACTTCAAGAAATTTTAAAAAGGGAAAAAAAAAAAAATTTTGGAGTGGAGTTTACCCCCAAGAAAAAAGGGGGCCATGGAAAGGGGAATGGATTTGGTTTTGGTTTTTAAATTTAACAGGAGTTTTGGGGGGGTTTTGTAAATGGGGGGAAAGGGAGGGTATTTTTAAAATGGCGAGAAAATAAAATTTTAGGGAAATTTTAAAAGTTGAGGAAGAAAGGGGGGTTTAAATTTATGCAAATGGGGCCCGGGGGGTATAAAAAATCTTTTTGGAGTGAAGAAGAGCAAAGGGGAAGGTGGGGAGGTACGTGAGGCATTTCGTAGAAAAGAAAGGGGGGAAAGCACTGGAACTGAGGGAAACAGACAGAAATGTTAAAAGCCCGGGGGGGTTTTAGTGGTGAGTGGGTTTGGGACTTTTGTTTTTAAAAAATGTATAAAGAGGGGAAGGACCTAGGGATTGGCAGAGAGGGATGAAAGTCCCTTTTTATAAAGGGAAAGGGGACAAAAGAGATTGTAAAAATTATAGAGGAATAAGTTTACTGAGTATACCAGGAAAAGTATACGGTAGGGTGATAATTGAAAGAATTAGAGGTAAGACAGAATGTAGAATTACGGATGAGAAAGGAGGCTTCAGATTTGGTAGGGGATGTGTAGATCAAGTGTTTACATTGAAGCATATATGTGAACAGTATTTAGATAAAGGTAGGGAAGTTTTTTATTGCATTTATGTATTTAGAAAAGGCATATGATAGAGTGGATAGAGGAGCAATGTGGCAGATGTTGCAAGTTTATGGAATAGGTGGTAAGTTACTAAATGCTGTAAAGAGCTTTTATGAGGATAAGAGGCTCAGGTTAGGGTGTGTAGAAGAGAGGGAGAATACTTCCCGGTAAAAGTAGGTCTTAGACAGGGATGTGTAATGTCACCATGGTTTTTTAATTATATTTATAGATGGGGTTGTAAAAGAAGTAAATGCTAGGGTGTTTGGGAGAGGGATAGGATTAAATTATGGGGAATCAATTCAAAATGGGAATTGACACAGTTACTTTTTGCTGATGATACGTGCTTATGGAGATTCTGAAGAAAAATTGCAAGGGTTAGTGGATGAGTTGAGAGTGTGTTGGGAAAGTAGAAAGTTGAAAGTGAACATAGAAAAGAGTAAGTGATGAGGGTATCAAATGATTTAGATAAAGAAAAATTGGTTATCAAATTGGGGAGGAGGAGTATGGAAGTGAATGTTTTCAGATACTTGGGAGTTGACGTGTCGGCGGATGGATTTATGAAGGATGAGGTTAATCATAGAATTGATGAGGGAAAAAAGGTGAGTGGTGCGTTGAGGTATATGTGGAGTCAAAAAATCTTATCTATGGAGGCAAAGAAGGGAATGTATGAAAGTATAGTAGTACCAACACACTTATATGGATGTGAAGCTTGGGTGGTAAATGCAGCAGTGAGTAGATGGTTGGAGGCAGTGGAGATGTCTTGTCTAAGGGCAATGCGTGGTGTAAATATTATGCAGAAAATTTGGAGTGTGGAAATTAGGAGGTGTGCAGTTAATAAAAATATTAGTCAGAGGGCTGAAGAGGGTTTGTTGAGGTGGTTTGGTCATTTAGAGAGATTGGATCAAAGTAGAATGACATGGAGAGCATATAAATCTGTAGGGGAAGGATGGTGTGGTAGGGTTCATCCTCGAAAAGGTTGGAGGGAGGGGGTAAAGGAGGTGTTGTGGGTGAGGAGTTTGGACTTCCAGCAAGAGTGGGTGAGCGTGTTAGATAGGAGTGAATGGAGACAAATGGTATTTGGGACCTGACAAGCTGTTGGAGTGTGAGCAGGGTAATATTTAGTGAAGGGATTCAGGGAAACTGGTTATTTTATATAACCGGACTTGAGTCCTGGAAATGGGAAGTACAATGCCTGCACTCTAAAGGAGGGGTTTGGGATATTGGCAGTTTGGAGGGATATATAGTGTATTTTTATACGTATATACTTCTAAACTGTTGTATTCTGGGCACCACTGCAAAAACAGTGATTATGTGTGAGTGAGGTGAAAGTGTTAAATGATGATTAAAGTATTTTCTTTTTGGGAATTTTCTTTCTTTTTGGGTCACCCTGCCTCGGTGGGAGACGGCCGACTTGTTGAAAAAAAAAAAAAATTTGGTTATATCTTATTTTGTCCAGGTGATTATTAAGAAATGGGGAGTCATTGTCATTTAGAGGGTATATGGGTAATAACCTGAGTAATACATCTAGCTTTGGCAGGATTAATAGGTAGAGGGAAAGGCAAAAGGGTCTTTGAGTATTTATGCAATTTTCTTTATTTCATTTTTATTAACTGGAAACAAAATTAGGGCCAATTTTAGAGGTTGTGTAGCCATGCAAAGAAATATGCAGTTGGTTAATTTTAATAGCTTTATTGTACATTATTTTTACTCTGTACAGGTTGCAGATATAGAAAAAGCCATCCAGCACTTTGAACAAGCGTCAGATTACTTTCGTGGGGAGGAAAACAATTCATCAGCAAATAAGTGTCTTTTGAAGGTAGCTATGTTTGCTGCACAAATGGAAAATTATGAAAAGGCCATCCAAATCTACGAGCAGGTTTGTTTATCAGAAAGTTTTTAATAAAAAGTAAAGCTTTTTTCCCATTGTGTAACAAAAGTTTTTACATGAATAATTGCCAGAAAAGAAGTGTACCCTTCATAAAATGTGTTATATTAAGATCTACTGACTATAAATTTCGTTAGTGGGACTTTTATAAACTGCAAATTCCTGACAGTGTCTTATGTGCAATGGTTGTGAATATACAGCATTAATTTTTTTTATCCTTTCAGGTTGCAACAAGTTCCCTTGAAAGTTCCTTACTCAAATACAGTGCCAAGGAGTACATGTTCCGTGCTGCTCTATGCCATTTGTGTGTTGATCTAACTAATGCCAGGATTGCAGTGGAGAAGTATGAAGAAATGTATCCAGCATTCCAAGATTCACGAGAGTGCAAACTGCTTAAGGTAAATCCATATAATCTTGTGTTGAATAACTCTACTGCTCCTGTATATGCTCTTTTCAAGGCACTATATGATCCTTACAGGTTAATGAGAATAAATTTGTGTATAAATGCTTTGGCAATAAAAGACAATTTTTTTTTTTTTTTTTTAAATATGGAGTCGAATTTTATTATGGAAATGTTTTATACCTTGTTGGTGTGGGAGGGGGTGCATGTGTGCATTCATTTTTTTTTTTTTTTTAACACATTCCATCTCCCACCGAGATAGGGCAACCTAGAAAATAAGAAACACTCCCAATCATTCACTCTTATCACTGTCTTGCCAGAGGTGCACAGCTGCTATAGTTCAGATGCCTCTCCAAATTGCAAATATCCCCACCCTTCCTTCAGAGTGCAGGCACTGTACTCTCCACCTCCAAGACTAAAGTCCGGCTAACCAGTTTCCCTGAATCCCATTACAAAAGTTACTTTGCTCACACTCCAACAGCTCTTCAAGTTCAAAAACCATTTGCCTTGACTCCTATCTAACATGTTCACACATGCCTATTAGATATCCAAGCCTCTTGCACACAAGGGTTAACCCCTACCCTGCTTTTCCTCCACTGCGGATTTATACACCCTCCAAATCATCCTATTGTTTTTTCATCCTCTCTCAATGTCTCAACCAGCTTAATAACCCCTCCTCAGCCCTCTGGATCATACTTTTAGTAACCCTGCACTCCCTAATCTCCAAGCTATGAATTCTCTGCATAGTATTTACACCAAACAATGCCCTCAGACACGACATCTCCACTGCTTCCAGCCTCCTCGCTGCAACATTACCTATGCTTCACACCCATATAAAAGTATTTGTACCACTAAACTTTCATACATAATCTTTTTTGCCTCCATGAGTAACTTTTCTCTCTACAGATGCCTCAGTGCACCACCCACGTTTTTTCCTCAGTTCTATGGTTCACCTTGTCTTTCATGGACTCAGCTGCCAACAAGTGTACTCTCAGATATCTGAACACATTCTTGTCCTCTTAATATCCAATCTTCCTTTACTTAAATTGTTTGTTACCTTCATCACCATCCTTCTTCCTGTGTTCACTTTTAATTTCCCTGTTTTCCCTCCTATGTTTGTCCACCAACCTTTGCAACTTCTCTTCAGAATCTCCTGAAAGCACAGTGGCATCAGGAAAAAGCAAATGTGACATCTCAAAGTTGGCAGGAGGGGGGTAAAGGAGGCTACAAATACTAGGAGCTTGGATATGCAGCAGGCTTGTGTGAGTGTGTTAGATCAGTATGAATAGAGGCAAATGGTTCTTATGATTTGATGTGCTGTTGGAGTGTGAGCAGTGTAACATTTATGAGGGGATTCAGGGAAACTGGTTAGCCGAACTTGAGTCTTGGTGGTGGGAAGTACAGTGCCTACACTCTGAAGGAGGGGTGGGAATGTTGTGGTTTGGAGGGTCATATGAACTGTGATGTTCGTGCCCTTCTGGCAAGATCGTGATTGAACGAGTGACAATGAAAGTGTTTTCTTTGTCGGGTCACCCTACCTTGATGGGAGGTGGCTGGAGTGTTAAAAAAAAAATTCCCACAGTGTTCTCTTATCTATAAATGTTTAATCTGAACACTGATTTTTTTTTAGGCAATTATGGACATTTCAAATTATAACCAAAAATTTGTTTATACAGCTATTATGGCATCCACGCCACTGTTTGTTTGCATCCTCTGTGAGCTCCACGTGTCCCATTTATGTCTGGAAACTTTACAAAATTTCAAATGTTGTGTATTTTATATATACAGTGGACCCCCGCATAACGATTTTAATCCGTGCAAGAGGGGTAATTGTTATGCGAAATAATCGGTATGTGAATGAATTTTCCCCATAAGAAATAATGGAAATAAAATTAATCCGTGCAAGACACCCAAAAGTATGAAAAAAAATTTTTTTTTACCACATGAAATATACATTTTCCCACACACACAAAGAGAAGGATACATGCACAATAGTAGAGTAGTACATGCACAGTATATATTGTGCATGTACTAGTCTACTAAATGAAGAATAAATGACACTTACCTTTATTGAAGATGCAGCAATGACTGATGAGACACTGTGTCCTGGGAGTGCCTTTTCCTCCTGAGTACTGTAGGTCCTGTTTGGCATTTTCTTCCAGAACAGGCCTTATCACACTGTGTATGCCACTACGATTCTTAAATCTCTCAAACCAACCTTTGCTGGCTTTAAATTCACCAATATGAGCACTAGTTCCAGGCATTTTTCCCTGTTCACCTGGTGTTAGTCGACTTGTGTGGGTTGCATCCTGGGAGACAAGATTAAGGACCCCAATGGAAATAAGTTAGACAGTCTTCGATGACACTGACTTTTTTGGGTTATCCTGGGTGGCAAATCCTCTGGGGTTAATTGTTTCTTGGTATTCTCAACAAGCCACACCAACAACGGTGCTACAGCAGCAGCAGCAGCAGCTGACGGTGGTACAGCAGCAACAGACGATGCTAACAGCAGCAGCAGCAGCAGCTGACGGTGGTACAGCAGCAACAGACGATGCTACAGCAGCCAACAGACCGAATGTTACAGCAGCAGCAGACGATGCTACAGCAGCAGCAGCAGCTGACGGTGGTACAGCAGCAGCTGACGGTGGTACAGCAGCAACAGACGATGCTACAGCAGCAACAGACAATGTTACAGCAGCAGCAGACGATGCTACAGCAGCAGCAGCAGCTGACGGTGGTACAGCAGCAACAGACGACGCTACAGCAGCAACAGACGATGTTACAGCAGCAGCAGACGATGCTACAGCAGCAGCAGCAGCTGACGGTGGTACAGCAGCAACAGACGACGCTACAGCAGCAACAGACGATGTTACAGCAGCAGCAGACGATGCTACAGCAGCAGCAGACGATGCTACAGCAGCAGCAGCAGCTGTACCACCAATAGTAGCGATGGTTGATTGGGGTTTATTATACAACCTGGCCAGCTCGGAGACACGCACTCCACTTTCATACTTATCAATGATCTTTTTCTTCATCTCTATTGTAATTCTCACCCTTATTGCTGTAGGGTTGGCACTAGAAGCTTTCTTGGGGCCCATGGTCACTTATTTTCCAGAAAAAGCACCGAAAACACTGTAATAATACGAAATATTCCGATTGTATGCTTGGATGTTACCGCGGAGGCTGGCTGGTAAACAATGCCACCAGCGGAACATGTGAGCGTGGCTCAGGCCGCACATTGGACGCGTTCTCGGACGAAAATCGGTGAGCGGGTTTTTAAGCGGTATGTGAGGCAAAATTTTGGCGATTAAAGCAAGCGGTATGCGGATTAATCGTATGTGATGCCATCGGTTTGCGGGGGTCCACTGTACTCTGATAATTGTACTTATGTGTACCTATACCTAAACAAACTTGCGCACTGTGCTGGCATGCATGTACTAGTGTTGACACAATAAGCATATTAAATAATCATCATTGCTCTGAGGTGCTTTAAATGTCGTATATTACATTATTGTAGACATTTTCATGAATCCATCTATGAGAAGCTGTTTACAGTATAGTATTACTGGGGGTAACTGTAGAAAAATTTTTTCTTTTGTATTCCTTCACTGTGTCATTCACTCTTAAAATGATGTATTGCATGAGAATGGGAGTGTTGCTGTTGTTTATTCTACTTGACCAATGTGACAACAACTTGTACATAATGTAAGGTGTTTGTATTGTGGGGAAGAACAGATTCACAAACACATGCATAATACAAAATGAACTTGTACCAACAGAAAGTAGACGGGTATTAATACGTGTTCATCTGACTGCCCACCACCCGTTCACTTTTACATTCTCTGTATCTTTCATCTCTCATTTATGATGGCGTCTAAGGGTAGGTGTGATAACAAGAGGAGTTGTAAGCCTCTTTAAATGTCAAGTTAGAAATTATTAAACTCAGTGAACAAGGTATGTTGATGACACTAAGCATAATAATACAGTGGACCCTCGACTAACGATTTTAATCTGTTCCAGAGAGCTTGTCCTTAGCTGAATTTATCGTTAGCCAAATTAATTTTCCCCATAAGAAATAATGGAAATCCAGTTAATCCATGCCAGACAGCCAAAAGTATTAAAAAAAAAAAAAATTTTTTTACATGAAATATACATTTCCCTACAAAGAAAACAATGAGACATGCATAAATACACAAACAAATACTAAAATGACACTTACCTTTATTGAAGAGTATTGATGAGTGATGAGGCACTGTTTTTCTTGAACATACTGGGATTTTCAGAGATACAGGAGTAAAGGCTTCACTTTGCAATCCCCGCTAGCATTACAACAAAACATGAGAGTTAGCCTGTCTGTCATAGGCTTGTGTCCTGGGAGTGCCTTTTCCTCCTGAGTAATGTAG